CAAACCTGGGRCTGCTGCAGCACTGCCTTTGTGCCTGCCACTGTGCAGGTTGAATGCTGAAAAAGAGGAATCAAAGGGATGAAGTGTAAACATCTGAGAATCAGGGAGAACTGAGGTGAGATGTGTTCCCAAGGCAGCCCTGTAAGCCAGCAGCCTGTGGAGTGACTGTGCCTCGCTGACCCTGGTCCTCTGCCCCTGCTCCTTGTCCTGTCCTGCCCCAGGCCAACCCTGCCCAGCCCTGATGCTTTTGTGCTTACTGTCTACTTAAAAGCCAGGAACAGCTTACCCCATGTGTCTGAGGCTGTGACTGAGGAGCACCCTGACCTGAACACTTTGTGCTCTAGTACTCAGAGTGCACGGATGTGTAACTTGAGCCAGCTTTCCTTTTCCTCCTGGTTAATCAGTGCTAATTGATTGATTTGGGCCTCACCCCCCACATTTGGAAGAAGAGAGGCAGCATCACTCTGTCTGGATGGAGCACAGGTATTTGCTTTCAGAAAGCCACCAGCATCTTTTTGAATGTAGCCAGGTACGTTCCCCAGCATAACAAGAAATCATCATTTAAGAGARATGAAGTTGCCATGTGCCTGCCAATCAGTCCAGCACCTCTGCCTGGAGCAGGACCAACAGCAGCCTGCCCAGGTGTGATGCCCAAGTTCTGTCAGGAGCCTTGAAACCCTCTTCCCCTCATGCCACGCTGAGACCTCTCTGTGTTTAGCAGGTTTTTCCATTGTCCTTCACCTGGGGATGCAAGGAATCAGGAGCACAAAAAGGGTGTGGGGACTTGTTATTTCTATCAGAGGCTGGAGATAGCTCTGTGCAGATCAGCAGGCACCCGGCTGCCCCAGGGGACGGGACAGGGAGGGGCTGGAGGCGGGTGTGGAAGGAAGCCGTGGTTTTCATCAGCAGCAGGAGGGGAAATCCAGCAAGGCAGCTGCTTCATCAGTGCTGAAGCCTCCCAGGGACCATGTTGACTTGCTGAAAAAGGAGCTCACATGCTGGAAAAGTAAAAAAATTGACTCCGGGGTTATTTAGTCACTGGCCACAAGCTGGTGGTGGAATTATGAACATGAACACGGTAATCCTCCAGCACCCCCAGTGCAGTGCCTGGAGGACAGGCTGTCTTTGCTCCCACACATCTCATTCCCTCTCAGCCCCAGCAGTGCAGAGGTACAGGGGACGTGCATTTGGGGGCCCCTGAAAGGCAGCTCCAGCCAGCCAGGAATGCTGCACTGAGCCTCCCTTGCCACGGCARTGGCAGTGGCAGCCTCTCCTCTGCACCCAGCCCAACTCCAGCACAGAGCATGGACTCTGTGAGCACTGGCAGCCTGCAGAGACAGGCTGTGGGGACATGCCTTGGGGACATGCCTGGGGAATATGTCTGAGGGGATGGACCATGGGCTGGATGGACCATGAGCTGGCAGAAAGCTGAGGCTTTCTGATTCAGTTATTCCTATCCAACTGGGAGCAATCCTAGACATTCTTTCAGGGCACCACATGGYTTAGAGAAGTTGTCCTCAAGATTAATAATTTTGTATCTTTTAACATAGAAAGATGAGCAGCCCCCCACCCTGTGCCACAAGAAAGTGGATGTCAGGACACCCAAGATATGTAAGCTTCCCCTGGGCAGCACTGCCAGGAAAATAAAGTGATTTTAAAAGCCTGGTGACATCCTTCCTTTCTCCATGAAGGTTGCAGGACATGGTCATTTGGAGATCAGCAAAACAAGATCAGCATTTCAGGACAATCTTCCCTGTTCTGCTGTTACCCTCTTTCTAAAACCTCTGAAGGGTGTGAAGCGACAGGAAGGAAGCCAGAGGATCAGTAAACATGGTGAGATCTGTGTACCATTGATTCATTACTTGCAGAACAGGGAGGGCAATCAACTGTTTAAAAAGTGGAGGCTGAAGGAAAACTCAAGAAAGGAACAATCAGATTTTTCACAAAACAATAAGCTTCTCTGGATTGCTATGGTCACCTGCATGGGAGACATCACACAACAAGTTAGGAGAGACAGCTTTCTTAAATTCCCTTTTTTCGTCACACACCCCAAATGTGACTTTCCCCCCCACGTTGTTTTGGGGCGAGAAGCTGCCCAGGTCTGCAGGGAGGATTCTGGGAGAAAGGACCTCTCAGGACATGGGCTTGTAACCATCAGCTTGAATTCAGCCTGTCAAATAAACACAGGTTATGTTCGAGCTTAAGTAGTAGTTGCACAGGGGAAATAAGAGAGGTGTCCAGACCAACACAGCTGGAACTTCAGGGGAAGCAGAGAAAAGCATACACAGTTTCTGAGATCCCAGCTTCTAGATCAAGCACACCTGTAAATTATAGTTCTGCTTTTCCAAAGACAAGGTAGGGAGTGTTAATTAGCCAAAAAGCTCTTGCACCAGCCTTTTGTAAATGGTGCTGTAGGGTTATAATTTTCCATTCAGCTCTCCAGGCAAACTCTTGCAGATAGGATCTCATTTCCTTCTGGACTGTTACTGGATTTCAGATAAATGTTCCAATTCTTGTTGCTGTCAGAGAAATTAGTGACTAGACAGGTTTGTCTGGCAGGCTGCATCACATAGCACACTGAGCACTCCAGCAAAGGGACAAAAAGGTACATGACGGTTCCCACAGAAGTGARTGTAAGGAGCCAGCAACCTCTGGATCAGCCACCAACAGTGCATGAAGGAGGAGCCATCAAGTGGCAAATACTGCCATCTCTGGATATGGTTCTTCAGAGTGATGAAGTGGTGAGTTCCCAGTCAGTTCATGGTCGGTTCCCAGTCTGTACACCTCTGGTCTGTGACACTGGATTTCATTGCAAATATTTTGAGTTGCTCTAACATGTGTCTCACCTTCCTTGTTTACAGAAATTTAAGTTTAAAGAAATTTAAGTTTAAAGAAATTTAAGTTTAAAGAAAAAGCTTCCTATTAAAGTAACAATGACAAAGCAAGATATATCAGTGGTAGAAACAAATACATCTTGCCTAGCAGAACAGCTATCCTATTGTCTCATCTACATGGCACAGGCAGGAGAAATTATAAATAGCAGTAGTGCCTGGGAGTTGCATCTCGGCACCAGTGCCTCTGGCCACCTCCTTCTGGCTCCCTGTGGTTCACAGTGACATAGAGGGCAGGGCACAGCTGGAAAATCCCTGTCAGCCTTCTGCCCCCTGCTCAGGCAGGGCAGGCCCCAAACCAAGCACTCGTGGGGGATACAGCTGGCAGGCCATCACCAACCTGATCCTGGTCAAAACAGCAACGGAGAACAATGCTCTTCTGATAGGAAACACAGATTTTCTGGTGCAAGACCTGAAGGGCACAGGGGAAGACATGGAGAAGGTAACTTTTTAAYTAGTTGACCTGACACTTGAGATAATGTTATAAAACACAGCCCTGTCTGTGATCATCCCTGTTCACAGCAGGGAGAAAGCCTTTGTGCCACTACTATGATACTGGACTAAAGAATGGCAGGAGGAGRGCCAGGTGAGCCTCTGTGGGCTGGCTCTCACACCAAAGCTGGGAACAGAGGGTACCAACTATTCATTTATTTTGGGATGGCTTTGTAAAGGGTGTAACTATGTTCATTGAGAATAGTGAAGGAAATGGCCTGAGCACCATTCTAATGCTTGCATATTTTTCAAAGATGTTGGGAGGCATGGATGTACATCCAGTGCATGGATGAGCACTTAATTGCAAGACCCTCATGATACGGGACAGACAGAAATCCAGACCCAGCCCAATAATCCTGAGTGGTTCCCATCTTCTTTTAGGTTTCAGACTAGCACATGTGTAGCACACATCACTGGCGGCATGAGGAGCACATTAGTCAAAATTGATGGTTCAGCTGACAGGCAGCAATTTGGGACCTTTGGTAATCTGAAATATGTTACCTTGTTTAGGGTCAGGCCTAACTCAGCAGATAGGATGGAAATTAAGATACGATGAAAAGGTTTTTAGTTATGAGGGTGGCTAAACACTGGAACAGTTGTGCRGAGAAGTAATGGATGCCCCATCCCTGGAAACATTCAAGGTCAACTTGGAGTTCTGAGGAACTTCATATACTTGAAGATGTCCCTGTCCATGGCAGCAGGGTTGGGCAAGATGGCACTAAGAGGTTCCTTCTAACACAAACTATTCTAGGATTCTATTCTATGATTTTAACTTGCWAACTTGACTGGTCCAAATCCTGTGTCCCCAGTCTAAGATCTGTGTTTAGCCATGATACTCATTCCTGACTCCACAGCCAAGCTGAACTTCATCTCCCCCACYGATGTGAAGGTCACAAAGAGGTAAGTGTGACACCAGTTTTCAGTCCCCAGGCACAGATTCATGGCACAATCCAGTTCATGAGCAACACACTGAGGCAGCACATGCTCCAGTGCCTGGATGGCACATGGGGGACATTCTGTACCAAATAAGACCAAGCTGGGACCCCTCTGCTCTCAGTTTGTCTTTAAGGCTGATTTCCCCAGTGACTGAGAAAAAAATATTGCACAATCTCCACAATAACAATAGGAAATGGTTAAAAAACAGGATCTGGCTGAAAAGAACCTCTCTGGTAGCTGCTCACAGGAGAAGGGCTGGGACACAGGAAACTGCCAGGCTCATCAGAGCTGGTGATTCATGTTCTGCAACCACAACCTGGCCACAAACTTCATTCCAGCAGAGAATGGGGCAGCAACCAAGGGGCTTCAAATGGTCCAAGCAAACAGCTAGAGATCAGTCAGGAGGCTGAGCAAGAAAAAATACAATAATTTAGGAAAAAAAAAAACCAACTCAGAGAACAGGATACTCTTTGATAGGACTCTTCTTCTAACCRTGTTGCAAAGGAGAAAAAAAGGGGTTGAAGAGAAGCAATTTGCAGATGCATGTGCAAAGGGGGAAAGGGGAACTGCAGAGTGCCTCACCACCACCAGCAGCCCTGGCAGTGGGGCAAGCGAGGGGGTTCAGCACACAGGCAGCTGGCTTCAGCTGGCTTCAGCTGGCTTCAGCTGGCTTCAGCTGGCTTCAGTTCTCCCCATGGCCCTTTGGCTGGCATCTATTACTTCCTGCAAATTGCTCAGAGGTGTTGGAGATGGCTCAAAACTGTGCCCTGCCTGCACAACGTGCTAGCAGGCTGTTGTCTTAGCCAGGACTCAGCATTTCCAGGACATCTCCTTCCCTGTTTTCTTGCCCCATGGCACAGCCAGGGGACAGCAGAGGGGAAGGAGCACTGGCTGCTCAGACTTGCTCTGTGTAGGTAACGGCAAAGTCTTTCCTTCAGGGAAGGGAGTTGCACAACTGGTTGTGTATTGCTGCCTGCTGCAGGTTCTCCCCACACAACCCTGCTTTCTGAGAAGCCAAACAATACATGTCAGGGCCCCTGCTTGCTCCCTGGCAGTGGGAATTACTGGAACATCCTGGCTATAAAAAATGCTGGCTGTTATGTGGACCCAGCAATAAGAACAAAGATGAAAAGGGGAAAGGCAGGAAAACTGAAGAGCTGAGATGAGTGCCAGGTACAGGTAGCTGGACATCAAGTAAATCCTCTAGGCAAATACCTCTCCATGGGAATAAAATGCAGAAAAGAAAGCCTTTCATTTTGGTGCTCCAATCTTAAACAGCCACCATTTGGCAATGCTGGCATAAGGTTTCATCCAGGATAAAGAAGTGAAGGTGGGGCAAGCATATGAACTTATACAGAAAATCAGGTAAGCCAAAGCTATATAGCAGCAGAATTTCCTATGGAGTGATCTGTTTTGGGACACTCATGCCTTCCTGGGGTTGATCCTTCTGGACCGGAATACAGGATTGTTTCCACTCTCAAAATGAAAGAATTACTCAAAGTRAGAATCAAGAGCCATGGGAAGCCAGCAACATTCATTTTCAGTTCCGTATTCCTGTAGCCCAAGGGTAGCTGTGAATCCTTCACAGAATCACGGAATGGGTAAGATTGGAAGGAACCACCGGAGATCATCTAGTTCCACCTCCCTGCATGAGCTGGGTCGCCAGAGCACATTACTCAGGATTGTGTCCAGGTGGCTTTTGAATCATTCCTGKAGGAGACTCCACAGCCTCTCTGAACAGCCTGCTCCAGTGCTCTGTCAGCCTCACAGTAAAGTTCTCCCTCATGTTCAGGTGGAACTTTCTGTGCATCAGTTTCTGCCCTTGTCCTATCGCTTGGAACCGACAGGAAGAGTCTGACTCCATCCTGTTGACACCCTCCCTTCAGATACTTGTACACAATGATGAGGTGCCCATTCAGTTTTCGCCTCTCCAGGCTAAACAGGGGAAGATCCTTCAGCCTTTCCTCATAACTGAGGTGCTCCAAACCCCTAATCAATTGGACTAGATCATCTCCAGAGGCTACTTCCAACCCTAACCAACCCTGAGATTCTGTGAATCACCTCCATTACCCTCTGTTGGACCCTCTCCAGTATGTCCTGGTCTTTCTTGAACTGGAAAGCTCAGAACTGGACACAGCACTCCAGGTGAGGCCTCACTAGGGCTGAGCAAAGGACAGGATCACCTCCCTTGACCTCCTGGTGCCCTATCCTAATGCACTCCAGGACAACTGTGGCTATCTTGGCCACAAGGGCACTACTGACTCATGGACAGCTTGTTGTCCACCCAGGCTTGCAATTTAATGACTTCAACTTGGGTTTGGCAAGTCAYTGGATAATAATCTGGCAACATCTTGGCTGTGCCCTGGGGAAGAAATTGAAGCTGTTTAGTCTGAGCTGCCCAGCCAGGTCTTATGCAAAACAGCTGAACCAGTGACAAACTGTTTTTGAAACCAGTAACCTGGCTGCAGTGGCACTATTGCAGGAAGCAGAGGCTGTTGTTAACCTCCTTTTCTCACCAGGGAAGCTGTGCTGCTGCCATGTGAAGTTGGCTGCAACACTAGGGAGCACAGGGACTGCTCAACAGCATGAGCCCCACAGGGCAAGTGATGTCAGACAAGACATGGAGGAGTTASAACTCCCCCATCCCTCCCTGCTCAGCTATGCTAGCTGGCATCAATGCCCTTGGGCTTTGCTCTTTGCCAACATGATATGGAAGATGATTTTGGATCACTGTGCTCACTGTTTTCTGCAGATCCCTTGTGAGTTTGCCCATGTGCTGTGCTGATACCTGCTTATTCATGCCCATGCAGCATGTACCACAGGCAGAGAACACAAAAACATCAGCAGCAGAGCTGAAAGGTGCAGCTGGATGAAACAGACTTGTTCTTACAGAGAAAAATACCTGGAAAAAAAACCCTAACCAACTAGAGGAAACCAGTCTATATCCATGCGTAAGTCAGATCCTTGTGACTATCAAAGCCCTGTTGTCTGACTTTGCATTTCTATCTATCCAAATGCAAGTGCATGCTCACGAAGACTTTCACACTCCAGACCACTGAAGCCCCTGAGCATCCCTGCTCTCAGCACTGGGGCATCTGACCTGTTGGAGGCCCTCACACCTCACAGTAGGCACAACCCAGACTGAAGATGGCAGCAGCAGATTCTCACCAGGTGAAGATCTGCACCGGGTTGGCTGTCTCTGTGCTGGCTGGATATTGCCCCTGGTGCTGCATGCCCAGCTCAGTGTCACATTTAGCAAAAGTTCTGGGTGCCTGAGGGCACAATGCACATCACTTGTCTCAGTCTCTGGCACCCTGCAAGAGCTACTTTTCTGAGCTCTGGATTTAAATTCAGTCTGCATTTTATAAAGGCAAGAGACTTGTATAATCCCAAGGCCTGACTGAATGATTTTTTCCCTGATATCCCTAGATAACCTTGGTCAAATTTGGTCAAGATGCCTCAGATACAGTGGAGTTCTAATAAATTGACTGAAAATTGATAGCTGGGCAGAGAAGAACGGTCCATTGGAGGGAGGCTGAGCTCACCTGGTAAGAGCTTGGTCTGGTGGCACATGCTCCAGCCACCCCTCAGCATGTGGGCACAACTAGGGTGGTCACACCACCGCCTGCCTCTGGCCCAGCAGCAGCAGCACTGGCAGTGAGATTTCACAGGCCAGGCAGCTCAGCAGAGGTTGGGAGCCTGGTTTTATCCATTCCACTGCTCAACAGCTTGTTTCCTGATGCTTTCAAAAACTGGCAGCTTGCAGTGTATGAAAAGATGTGGGTTTTTTCTACATTTATGTATTCCTTTGGATTGCTTTTGCAATTACATTTTTAGTAGCTGTTTCTATTTCATTTTCCTATCTCTTTGGGTTTCACTGTGCTCATTCTACTGTAGTKAAGAATCACCAGCCATCAATGGCTCATGCAAGCTCGCATGAACAGCTACGCATTTGGGATTTCTCAATACAACGCCCGTAAGCTGGGCAGGTGCATGCAAGGTAGGGATGGACACTGAGGAATGGATGCTCAGAGCAGGATGAACATTTCTAAAAGCAAAAAAGCACCAAAACACTCACATGYCTCTAAGCCACCCACAAGCAGGCAGCATGTGCCACAGACTCCAGCAGCCAGTGCTTCTGCTCTGCTCCTCTGCAACGATGGCTGAGACTCAAGCAGTCCCAGTTCAACACATGCTTCAAAGGAAGAGTCCAATTGCTTCAGCTCCCCAGTCAAAGRCAGTGAGTTGTCATCTTTCCTAGGAAAGGTGGGCAACTTGTGTATTGTTACATTGTTTGTTAATTTTTGCTTTACCTTGCATTTTGTTACCTCCTCCTTGGGGTTGCAGATGACTGAACAGGTTTGACTCCCTTGCTCCAGGGCAAGCAGAGTCACTCTCAGCTGGGAGAACAGCCCCAGCTGTTGAGTTGAGAGGCCAAGGACCACCACCAGATGGGTCCTTTGGCTTTGTGGTTATCTTGGTTGGTAGGAGAGCTCCTGCTCACTTCCAGCCCAGCACTCTTCTTCCTCTGCTCACTAAATTTCTTTCCTTGCAGACTGACACAAAGTCCAAGGGGAAAGATGCAAACCTGGCAAGAGGGATGGAGGCAGCTCTAGCAGTCTAAATCGATGACCTTACACCACAAAAAAAATTAAGTGGAAAAGGAATTTGGGTCTTCAGTGAGACCAAGGTGCTTAGCCAGACACACKATCTATTTTCCACACCAGCTGGACCCTGCCCTTCTGTGAGGACAAAGGGGACATAGCCAAACATGTTAAGACATTTCATCCTACCCTGGGCACCTCTTACAGCTCTTAGTGAAATCTCCCTTGCTCTGGAGAGTCATTGAAACCCTCTTCCCATCCCCAACCCCAGGACCTGAAGTCTCTCTTGACATATCATCTCTCTCTTCAGTCTTTTCGCCAATACTCAGCCCTTAAATCTCTCCCCTTCTGCTCTTCCCCGTTTTTAGGCAAAATAGGATGACCAAAAATTAGTGTTAATTATTCCTCCAGAACTGAGCTGCAAATGACATAATTCCACAGGAGGCCATTAGGCCATTTAGCATTTTATCAGCTTTGAAACAGCTTCCCTTTGTATGTGGGCCACACACCCTGCTGCCATGAGAGTCAGCTCTGACTATGGGAGCAGACCTAAATCACTAAAACATCCCAGATTAACTGGGCAAAAAAATAGAAACTAACCCTACAATCAAACAGCCTTTAGGAGGGAAGTGGTCAGGACAGCATGGGCTGGAGAATGGGAGAAAGCCCTGAGGACAAGGGAAGAATGGAGCAGTAAAGGGGAATGGTCCTTCTCTCAGTGGCAACAAGTCCCTGGGGTATATTCTACAGACGATGGAACCACAGTCAGTCAGTGCCCTCTAAAGGATGGCTGGGCAGGGCCACACTCCCACTCTGCAACTACACCAGGTCTGGTCACAACGGGTCCCAACTGTAACCCAAAGAGCTTTGGAAGCCACCAAGAAAAGAGACACCATAAAACACACCTCAGCAGAACAGTTATCATGATATGTAACAACAGCAGCACCCTGCTGCCCACCTCACACAGGTGAGAGCCACATTGCAAGGCAGCAGCTGACAGTCAGTCGGATCCCTCTGGGCCAGGAGAACTTTGCTGTGGTGTCAGTAGTGGAAGCTGGAACAGTCAGTGGAGGGGGTCCAGGTCAGCTTTGGCCAGAAAGCTCATGTCAGGCTATGGGCAAGCGGTCTGGCTTGCAATTTGATCAGACAATAAATTGAGCTGCAATGTTCTCAAATTGGGTTAAAGGCAGAAGCATTTAATGGAATAAACTCCTCACRATGGAACACATTTCTCCAAACAATAGTGCTTGTATAACTTATATGAGCAGGGGCTTTACACAGGTTCTGTCATCTGCACCTGGGTCAGAGTCTCATGGTACTTCCCATATAGAATCTTAGAATATCCTGAGCTGGAAGGGACCCACAAGAATCAAAGAGTACAACTCCTGGTCCTGCACAAGACCTTGGAGGTTTTATCATCTGTTCCTTTTTGTTCTCCATCTGCTCCTTTATCCTCTGYGTCACCAGCTCGCTTCAATTACAGATCCTTTCAATCCTGTTTGCACCTTCTCTCAGCAGGTGCAGGTCTCTTCCTGCCTCAGATCTCAGGTCCTGTGTCCAATTCCAAAACATGCTTGCTCACTCTCCTACCACTGATGCAAAGTCACACTGGAAATGGGAGCACAGCACAGAATTGTGCTGGCAGTGGGAGAAGGGAGCCTGGCAAAAGATCCACAAGATCCTTAGATGGGTGCAGCATTGTGGAGCCGATACATATTGGCCAACAGGAGGAGTGGCACTTCCTCAAGMACAAGGTGTGCATGTAGCACAGCAACAGCAGCTTCCTCTGGAATAGGGAATCACAGACAGGCACAAGATGGCACAAGAATCACTGTTCTGTACACATGCTAATTCAGCAATGCCCATCTGAAACAAATTATCTGCTCATGACAGAGTTCACTCCAGTCTGACCCACTCCCTGAGCCAGCATCACAGATCGCAACACTTTCTAATACGTATCCTGGAAAAGTAGTATGACTCTGTTAGAAAAAAAAAAGTACTTAAAAAAAAAGAAAGAAGAAAAAACAACGAAAGAATATAAAAAAAATATTCTGCACTTCCACTGGGGATAGAATGAGAAGGAACTGCAAAAATGGAAACTTGGGTCAGTCATTAGGATAGTAATTTCCAAAGTAAAGAGAATAAGGCCCCAGAACAGACTGTCTTAGGAGATGACTTAACTGCCATCCTTGGAGGATTTATATGAAAAAGCTTGAAAAACCTCAGCTAGGATGATACAGTGTTCTCACTTGGAGACAGAATGGAATAGGATATTTACTGTGCTTTCTTCCGGCCTCTTCCCTGCACCTTTCTCCCCGCTACTCCCCCCCCCCCCCCCCCCCCCCCAAATTCTGCATCTCCAAAAGTCTACAATCTATGTACTTGCATAGAAATATGGCAATAACTCTGTTTCCCCAAGTACACAACACTTAACAGTCGTTGCGCAGCACTTCGAGGATCAGCAGCATGACACTGTCGTATTTTTTATTAGAGTACTTCAGATCTTAAGGAAGAAATACTGCTGGTACTGGTGAAGGGAGCAAGCCTCAGAGTTAACCTACTCTAATTCTAGCCAGGAAAGGGGAGAGGGAAACACCAATCTTTTTTTCACAATACCTTGATTTGATTTGGTGGTTTTTTAGTGAGGGGATTGGATTGTATCTGGCAGAGAGAAACAGGTCAGAGGATGAGAAGAGGCTGTWTTAGAAACAGGGATGGAGCAGCAGGAAGCTCACTCTTGGGAAGGAAGAAGGGGTGAGAGAGAACTCTCAGAACACCCAGAGCAGCAGAGCCTGCCCCTCAGGGCAGTGACAGTTGGACCTGGGCTTGCCCTGCTCCTTCGTCTCACKGTACCTTCTCCAGACAGAGCCTTCCCAGAACAGCTGCTTGCCCAGCCCCAGCTCTAGTACCTCTTCCTCTGCACATCCATCTTTGCAACCCTGATAGTATCTCCCAAGGCTTAATAATTAACCAGTTCTTAGAGTAAGGAGGGGGAGACAAAGTATACTCGAGGCAATATTCCTGACCAAACTTGGTTCAGTACATTCCTATTTCCTCAGCTGCACTTGGCATTGGGGAAAACAACCCCACTGCACAAACCTGTTGCTTTGTTTGCTTCAGGCACATTACAAAGCAATTAACTATTACCTTTGCCATGTCATGACTGCCTGAGAAGGACACGTTTTTCCCTGTACTTTTGCCAAAATTATTTTTCCTTCACAAATTCAATAAAGAAAACAGACATATAGCTCTTTGTACAAATGAAGAAAAGCCCCAAAAATAAGAGAACAAAATTGCTTTGTCCACATTTAAGAAGACTCAAAATACAGAGCTCTGAGGTCTTGACTTTTTTTTYCCCCTTTTTTGTTACATTTCTTATTAAACATAATACTCAGAATTTGGGTTTGGCTGGGCTCAAAAGATTATGTAGCACTGAAAAGACTATCTGGACTAAGGCTACCAAAAGCAAACAGTGTTATCAGGCAGGCACTCAGTTTAAAGAAACTGGCACTCCCCTTCAAAAGGTACATGCTCTTCCTTATCTCTTTAACACAGACCATCAAGGTTTTAGCTTTCACAATGCCATTTCAGCACATGGCAGTGCTCTGCAGCTGAACAGAAAAAGGAAAACACTCAGAGGTGAAAACGATCGAGCAGCTCCTGAACTCAGAAGGCRTGTGTATTCTAAAAAATAAAACCTTCTTTTTAACTATCAGCTGTGTTAATTAAAAAAAAAATGTTCAATATCAGMACTTTACCGATACTATTTAAAAATGCTTTCTGTGCCTAACTATAAAGTTGGGTAAAAAATAAAGGCCTTTTTAACTATCTGGTTGCATTAATGAAAAGAAAATCTTCAATATTTTATAGATACTATAGCACTTTATAGACACTATTTTAAAGTGCTTCCTGTGGCTAACTATAAAACTGGGTTTGCATAATCTCCAAGAGTTTGGTGCCATCCATCCTATATCAAAAAGTCATAATTCCTGGGCAAGAGAGAAAATTTATTGAAATTTGAATGAATTTCAATAACTTCTCCATTTCCATGATAGCCTAGAATAAAAACCAATTGCATTCACAAATCATAATGCCACTGGCACAAAAGAAAACTCTTGTATCTGCTTAGAGCTTTAAGTTACAAAGAATCTTTATTTAACTTTGATTGAGCTTATGATTAGAAATAATGTAACTGTGAACTCTGAAAGATTAATCAATTTCTGTCAGTGAAAAATATTGTGTACACTTTTTTCCTACTTGTTATTTCTGTGAACATTGAGCTGAAAGGAGGCAACATGTCCACGTAACTCACATGGATTGTAAAAATTCAAAGATTTATAATTGAAGAATTACTGCCCCTCATTTAATTCCTGTTTGGCTGCAATTCCCTGAAACTGACAAGGAAACACTGAGTTATCTATTCTAGCTAAACCTCAGACCTGGGGTTTCAAATAAATAGTTTCTGCTAAGAAGGCCACCTCCCAGGCCCAGCCACCCACGTGCAACACCTGCAAGGACAGGACATACACCAGGTCTGGGCAGCAAGCCCAGCTGATGGCACAGGCTCTCTACAGCAACTTTCATCCGACACCACAAAGAACTTGAGAGCAGCAGAGCTAAAAYGGATCTTGGAGAGACCCAGATGAGAATATCAGGTAATACTTGACAAGGGCTCTCCTGCCAGGACCCCTCCCAGTCCCCAAATCTCACTCGGGGCTCTGGACTGCAGTTCTGGTGGGCAATTGGCAGAACCAAGCACACATCTGGGTCCTTCACAAGGTTTAATTCTAAATCACTACCAGAATTTTGCAGCAGCAGAATCTCAAGTTTAATGCAAATCCTGTGCCTTGTTGCCTTAAAACACTTAAACCACATCTTGAAAAGTCACTTTGTTACAGGAGGGGCAGAAGATATTTTGGGCACCATCAGAGGGGTTTTACCTACCTCCTACTGCGACACAGCTTTTATCTGAAGTCCCATTTACTGCTTTGAGGGCCGCAGTGGGGAGACAGCAAAACTTCTACTAACAGTTACATCGTTGTTTCAGGTCAAAGCCAAAGGAGCGTAATCTATGAGGACAAAACCCAAGAATATATTATTTTGCTGAAAGAACGAATACTAWATAAGTTTACTTAGAAAGCTACAGTTCTTTTGAACAATAATTTGAACTCTATTGGATATCCATATAAGGCTGAGAGTGCATTTTCGCTGCCTTAAGTTTATTTAGTGTTGGAAAACTCTGAAGTCACACTTTATTAAGAGACAGAATTGCCAAGAAGTCCCCCTTTTGTGCTGAACAAAACTTGCAAATTTAATTCCTTAAATTGGGTAAAGGAGAAGTGCCTTACTGTGCTCTGGGCTCTCCCTTGCCATTGTCCAGGAGACATGCTGAAGAACAGAACCATGTAAGGAAAGGCGAGACCAGAAACAGTAGACAGAACATCCTAGGGAGGGCATTATAAACCAGTATTTAAATTGAARAAATTTTATCTTTCTCAAAAAATCACTGTTTAAATCTTAACAAACACATCAAACCTCACTATAAGACACTGTTGACTCTGGCCAKCAGCTTTACTCAGCTGACAGAAACCACCACTGCCACAGAAGGAAGTGTTCATTTGTCAGCTGGTTCAGATTCAAGTCGGTACCTCATTTTAAAGCCACGGCAGGGTGGGGGCTGAACAAAGATGTCACACTTTGCCCCAGAACAGACGGGGAGATGCCAGTTCTGCCGTGGGTTTGGTCATSTACAAGAGGCAGGGAAACCGCAGCAGCTGCTGAGTGCAAGTGGAATCTTCACACTTGACAGCAAAATTCCACAAGTACTCCCCCCTACGGCTCTATTTAAACCTGTAATGGCAAATGCTGGTCAAAGAAAAGTAAAACATCATACAAAATAAAACACGAGACAACAAAACAATGCAAATTACAGACTACTCTTGCTCTTTATGTTTAAACTGTGTAAAGAACAAACAAACATTAAGAAAAACTACATTAAAAATAAAAAAGCAGTTATCTCCAAGTCTTCTGCAAATCCAAGATCTGGCTTCTGCCTTACACTTGCATTAATGTTTAGTGTTTAGTATAAGTGTAAATACTTGTACATTAGTTTAGTAGGAATGAAACACATTCTATTTTATTCTATTACTTTGTGAGAATCTGAAACATGTTTAATTAGTTGGTAATAAAAAGCCTCATAGAATTCTAATTGATAGGAAAATGTTTTCTCTCAAAGGGATTAATCTTTTTTTTAGGACCAGAGAAGCTAGCTAATGAAACAGGGTTTTCCAAGCTCCACAGGATTGCTTTGGTGCTTAAGGAAGGACTAGAGGCAGCCCTTTGTGCCATGGTGTAATTGGCATTGTGGTGTTCAGTCAAAGGTTGGACTCGATGACCTCACAGGCCTTTTCCAGCCTAATTCGTTTTGTGATTCTATGTGTGATTTCCCCTGGACAATTCTATATATGGCACAAGTCACGACAGTCAGCTGACAAGTTTCCAAGAGCMCATTTAGAATGTGGCCTAACACCACCTCCCCAAACTGCCCAGGATAACGGTGGRCGCCTCACCCACCCACAGAGGTGCAAAAAGATGCCAAGTCAACCCCCAACGCCATTCAACCTACAGTCCGAAATTCTTTAGCACGACAGAGACAAAACACGCTTAGCTTAAGGAACGATCTGAGCAGACCCTAAACGCTACACGCGGTTTATTCGCGGCCTAGCGACAGTATTCCTTCCGGAGCCGCAGCAGCTCCYAACGCTCCTCAGCCGCGCGGCGCCGCCCCCTCTGCGCACGCGCCGTGCGGCAGCGCGAGCCCCGCCCCCTTCCGGCCCGACCGCGCGGCCTTCCCCCGCCGGCGCGCGCGCGCTCCCCCGCGCGGCCCGGCAGGGACGGGGCGGAGCGCGCCGCGCTCGCGAGGAGCCGCTAACCCCCTCTCCCGTGCCGGCCGTTGGCTCCCGTGCCGGCCGTTGGCCCGCCCGGCGCGCACGCGCCCTCCACCC